TGGCGTTTCACTGTCTATCCTATAGTGACACCAAACACCGATAAGGAGGCACTTTCAGATCGGTCCATCATGTCTCAGCCACTGATCGAACTGGTAATGTGCCTGTTGGATTCGTCTCTGGAAGGTTGTGCGGATCGTGCCATAGTTTCACGTCTGGCTGCGGCACTAGCGGCCTGTGCCCAATTAAGTTCATTAGGTAATGTTATAATTTATTGACCGGAACTTGAGAAACTTAACCTTAAATTATTAAAATATGGTAAAATATATATTATATTATAGTGCCATCACAGAGAATGTGGGTTCTACATCGACTCAGACGTCTCATGGCGTCGGGATTAGGAAAATCTTTGAACATTGCAGAAATATTAGCAAGTAGTCATTACAGTGGAATTTCTCCAGATGAGGCCATTTCTCAATCATTTGTAAGTAATTAATTTAAAGTTCTTTTATTTTAAATTTATAGAATGGATAAGAAATGTCATAAATTATAAATGAACATATATTTAATACTATTTAATTATGAAGATATAGTTGAATCATTTTTAATATGAATATTTAAGAAATTCAAATTGCTAAATAATTGCTCTTCTTTGGCAATATTCCATGTCATTTGACGGTATCACACTTTTCTCTTTAATTTATATTATACTTCTTTAATTACTTTAGCTTTTCTAGCTAAACAGAAACTGGTGTACAGTACATTCCACATTTGGACATTATAAAAACATAAAAGCTAAACAACTTCATTATCTAATCTGAAATACATGGTGTCTAAAAGATACTGTGTAATGAGAAATTTGTAATGACATTAAAGTCATATATACAACATTGGATATGAGACCCATAAGTCGTATTTCCCATATTTCCATTTTGATAGGGAGATAGCATTATCGCTTGCTTACAGATAGTTTTTGGACAGTTTACAGACAATTTCTATATTCAGCTTTTATATGAAGCTGAACGTAGAAATTGTCTGTAAACATATTAATAATACAACTGAGATTAAATAACTTTTCTGAATACATTCATAGTATATACATTAATTGTACAAAAATTTGTTATTGGTGCACCAATTTCAACTTCTCTTCATATTTTAAAAGAATGAATATGGTGTATGCAAGAACTATACAATAAATCTGAAATGTTTGTAAAGTACTATTTGATTTTTATATTTGACATGGAACTATGTGCCAGTAAGGTGTTCGGGACTATCGCTGAACTTTACAACCGTTAACCTAATGGGTGCTTTACGCGGGTTCATGGTTAGTATGCCAGGCATGGGATTACACATGCTCCAGAACTATGTACACGGGTCGGTAAGGAACTCAATTATTCACTATATACAAATTAGTAAGAATCAAAAACAATTCAATGAAAAGAAACAATTCGAAAAAACTCGACAAAAATAATGCAATTTACTTACTATAACTTATGAATTATTCCCCTTGGAACTCAACAATATCAATCAATTAAACTAGGTACAACAAATCTTACAAACTACAATCCTATCTGTCACCTCAATACTAGGAACCTTTTCTCTTTATCCACTTTCCTTCAAATTACTCCTCTCGCTATCCTCAAGACTTGTTTTTGACTTCTCTCTGGAAAAAACCTCGCTCTATCCCTGGCTGGGACTCACCTTGCTGTCTTCTCTGGTTGTGCTCGTTTTATACTCTAAGGTGACATCACAATTATGTCTGGAATCACTCCCCTCGTTTACATACTTTACTTCTAACAACAAATTTGCATGTCTTTTCCTGTGCAGTCTAGTTTCTGACATTCTCACAAAATCCTTTTATATTATTCTTTTTTATTACATATTCAGGATGTTTATTTTATCAAGGTTTAGTGAGTTTTCTACTTTGTGCGTCTGGTGTGTTCCCCCTTCTTCCTGTGGAACTTCTTTCAAACTTCTGCCTGGGAGCACAAGTGCATGTTAGTTTCCCTACAACACTTTGTCTATTCGGTGAGTTGGTTTTTTCCTTTGTCTTTTTTTGTGTCTTTTTCATTACTAAGGTGAGTGGTGAGGGAACCTTTGTCCTAACTAAACATAAACCCCAAACAAAAATAGAATAAAAATCAAAATAAAAATTAAATAATAATACAGCTCGGACTCAGTTCCTTACATGTTTTGTAATATTTCAGTAGATAATTACAGAAATAGTTTAATAAATTTGACAAAAAAAATCATTTGTGTACATTGTGAAACTATTGTTTTAGTATATTTTTAGATGTCTTTAACAGAGTACCATTCTTTCTACTCTAAAGAATAAATAAATAAAAATCATTTGTTATATTTCAATAAGTAAATATATAATTTTGCATTACTTTTCAGTCACTCAATGATTCTGCGCTTTCCTCATTAGTCAAAGGATTGCCAGAAGCACTACTGCGACAATATGAGTACGAAGATCCTATTGTTAGAGGAGGAAAACATCTAATGCATAGTGATTTCTTTAAGGTAATTCATCTTTTTTAACTTAATTTATAAAATAAAATATATTATATTTTATAAATTAAATTAAGAAGGAATTTAAATGTAAGAGTGAAGATATTTTGCATTATATCTTTGTTCTTACAGTTTCTTAATTGTCTTTACACATAATATCTGTTATATATTTGTCACATTGATTTTGTTTCAGGATTATCTTTTGTAACAAAAACCTTTATGTTTAATTTTTTAATGACACAACCGCAGTATATTTTACCCAAATTAAATATAATTCTCATTAAAATTGAACAGATATTTGGATCAGAATATATGATCTGATGAACTAAGAATAATGCTTTATTGTTGACAAGTTGATAATTTGTATTAAGGCCTTGTATTGTACATGCCATATTAAAATACTACAAAGAAAATTTACAATAACATTTCAAGAATAGCTCTGTACAAAAATTAATAATACAGTTTTAATTAATAACAATCAAATTTCATTACTTCCAAAAAAGTGATGTTTATTTCAAATTTTGTAAGTCCTGTTGATGGACTCAAGTGATTTAAGTTGAACGTACTATCACAGAAGATGAATTATCATGCTACAAAACTTGCATATATTCATATATAAACATCTCAAAGCCAGATTTTAATAAAAAGCCAAATGATTGAGTTACTTTACCAATACTATTAATAATTAAATACTGAGTAATTTAGTACTACAGGTAGGTATTAGAGAGGTTGAGGTGCACGTATTCAGCCCAAAATGTGAACGGTGAACAGATGCCGCCATCTGGCAAGTCTAGAAGGTTGACAATGACGTTTGTTATGTTTAGCATGGCGAATAGAAGTTGGGTTTAAACTTCTTCATTTTTTTGTGTTTGTGGTTAAAATTATGACGTATTTTATTAAAATAATGATTATTTAAGCATTTACGAATAATAATGTAAAGAAACAAATGATTTTAATCCAGAAATTATGTAATTATTCAATTTTTTAGCAAGTGATGTGAAGTGCCTATAGACTTTACATATATTTGTCTTCATAATAGCTTATCTTAAGGTATGTTTGTTCTTCCATGACATCTACTGTCAACAGTGTAATATGTTTGTAAATTTTCAAAAAGTTAATTTTTCAAGCTGCTTTTGAATTTACATAAGCCACTACTTCCCTCGACAAAAGTATGAGGTAGTCCTATCGTCCGATCATACAGTAGAAGACACAATGCTGATAAAAAATAATTATTTAGTGATTAAACATCCTATAAATACTTTTAAAAAGTTTAATTTGTTTATTTATTTTTGCTGGTAACCCTCGATGTTAAATGTATCTGCCATTTTTTTAACAAATTTCCCGTGAGTCAATGCGCGACGTTCACTGAGTCACGTGATGTTGTGAACGAGTGCCGCAAGGTCTTTTACTTGGACTTAAAATGTAAATCATGTACTTTTGCTTGCTGTACAAGTTTAACATTTGTACTTGTGCCTCAACCTCTCTATTAGGTGCCATCTCTTATTAATTTAATTATAATTATTAAATTTAATATTTATTGAATAATTAATAATATTCTGGAAGAGAAAAATTGGGCTGGAGTCAGACTCAAACCTGTAACTCCTGCTTACCGTGCTGATGCATTACCAGTTATGCTACCCAAGCTGCCAGTCTGGTTTCCTCTTCCAGACATTCTATATTATTTAATAAATATTAATTTAATTATAATTATTAAATTTAATAAGAGATGGCACCTAATGTCTCCCTCTAGTGACAAATTATTTAATAATTAAATATAATAATTGCAGAAAAGTAGCCCAACATATTCCAGTGGTTGTTTGGCTTTACAAATTTATCAGGTGTGGTGACATTTGTTTACAATCTCTAAAAACAACTCCAAGTTTCTGGCATCATAATGTCACACAATGATTAATGTACAAGATTCAATGAGGCTAGACATAAGATGGGCATCTCTCTCAGATTTATATGGCATAAGTAATTTATCAAAAATGTTAGTGTCTAGGTGGAAGTAGGTGAAAAATATTTATTGAGTTTAGTATTAAAGTTCTAGTGATAAAATTTAAATGATATTATTTAAGTTCCCAGCCCTAATATATCAATATATGTATTGATTATTTAAATTGTTAACATTCTGTACATGTACTGTACTGTACATTCCATTCTAGATTGTGTTTTCCATATTTATTTTGAATGCATTGAATAATATTCAATTTAAGACTGTATGAACTTTTTAATAAGTTCAATCTTATGTAATTTAACAGTTGTTCAATTTCTGAATATTTTAAGCCGAAGATGTTCTGAGGCAGAATATAAATATAAATATTTCTTTCTGCAATAAAATTTGGCTACCTGAAATAAGCATGTTAGTATTGGTGTACACTAAAAAGCCAAACAATTAAAAATATATTAATTTAATTAATAGCATAAAAATAATCAAATACTTAAATGAATTTNTTTCCAGTCCAGTTAATATTTACTGAAATATAAATATAATTATGTCTAAATATATGTAGTTATGATTTTAATATCAGTAGATATTATGAATTCTAACCTTCTCTTAATCTCCATTTCATTTGCGTAACCAGATGTTCAAACCGACTTTTAGAGGGATTGACTAATTTCAACTTATATTCAATATTTCCTTCGGCAGCTTCTGGTGGTAAACATACTGGTAGAGGAGACAGAGAAGATGCCACTCCCTCATCCTGCGTTTCAGGATCAAATAATCCTACAAATGATTCCATCTGTAAAATACAGATCACTGAATTAAAAGTTATTCTTATTAACTCAATTATTTTTAATAAGAAAATAGTAAACTTACTACTGTTACTTTATATAACAAATGGTTAGAACATATATGAAATAAAATGAGACAAAATAGCTTAGCATTATAATTTAATTAAAGCAAATAAAAATGTAAACTGTCATTTAGATGACAGTTCAGATTTTTATTTGTTGACAATTTAATACTAAAAATAATACTTTATTACTTATTACATCAAATCTAGAATGTAAACTATTTTAATGTGTAAAAACTACATATTTGTATATATAAAGTGGCCAAAGGCTTAATTTTGAGGGTAAAAATAAGTTTTATAAAAAATTGTAAATGCTGACAAAATCTTCTTTAAGTCTAAAATGTTATTTTAAAAGTAAAATCTCATAACAGGAAACTTATGCAGCTTGTTACTAGATTTTTTAAATATAATTTATTAGTTGTATTCTAATAGCATGAATTCAATTCACTATAGTAAGATTTTAGTAGAATTACATTTAGCATATGTAGTTCATGAAATCATCTGATATTTACATAATCACGTAATATCATGTGAATATCAAAAATAAAAAATAATTTAAAATGTCTGAAATAAGATGTGATCTCCCCACTTCCTCAACTTTTATCAACCAAAATTTAATAACATCAATTCTCCTTATACATAAGCTACTGTGCCAAATTTCATTTCTTAATCATTACCCCCTTCCAGGGCTGACTCTACCATTTCAGCAAACTAGGCAACCGCTCAGGGCACAAGCTATAAAAGGAGTGCAAAATTTCAAGCCATGCTTTATTCATATTTTACTAAAATATTAAATTAAATAGTGATATCTGATTTCAGTATCGACTCATTTTCCTTATCCCTCATACTTCATACTATTTAACTCTTGGTTCTTTTTTGTTCCTTACCTAAATAATTTGAACTAACTATTATTTACGATTCAGTTAAGATAAATATTTTAAAACATTATTATGTCAGAAACATCTGAAGTGCAAAACATTTATCTTATATTGAATATGAGAATAAAATTTATGAAACATATCTTTTGATTGTTTACTGCTTATAATAATTTTATTACTTGCTGCTCTAATTCAATTTTGCATATTTTCGAGGTCTTGAATGTTAGGAGCTCCTGGGCCCAGGCCCAGTAGGCCCACACCTAAAGACAAGCCTGTTTAAGCTTCTCTTGTAGATCCATAGAGAGACTCAACAATGAGATGGTTGGCTCCAGATCAAAGAGTCCAAGTGTCTCTACTTTGTCCCATATGGAATTAGTATCTGTCCAGCAGCATTTGAACCAGACAACTTAGCAAGATCTTGGAAGTGGCTAACATGCTCTCTGACTGCATTGGATCTTGTTAAAATAATGTCAGGTTTATTACTCATGTGTTCTTGTTTGTTTTTTTGCTTTCACAAAGATGAGTGAGAACTTGAATGCATCTGAAAGCTATAACTGCTGTTCATATATTCCAATGAAGCAGATTTCACAGTATAACAAACAATTATTTATTGTGACATCATCACAATACCAGGCTGTAATTTTTAATCACATTTTTAATTTATTTAATTTAAAATATATGCTCTCCACCTCAAATTAGTAATGTCTTGCCCCTGTACATCATATTTTTCCTGTTAGCAACACAGTCAAGCTGTCAACTATTAACTCCTTTCAGGGGAGAAGTTTTGAATTAAAATAAGATGACTTCCAGTTTGCATTGATAGTTCATATATAGTTAATCAGGGTTTCCTATCCCTAACTTTTCATATATGGTCTTTGTCTTTCATCTGTCTAACTCCATTCTTGAGATTAAGGAAAGACAGATGGATGACAGTGGGAATTTATAGGTCTACAATTTTTTCAAATAGCTGCCCAATGATTCAGTTGTAGAGTTATAATTTATTAAAATGATCAACAAATCTTTATCAAAAAATTAATCAAAATTTAAGTATTACATATATTTTGAGTCCATTATTCAAAAATATTGCTATTTACAGAAAGTCTGATTATAATTATTTATTTTCTGTTTGCAAAAAATTTGACTTTTAACCTATTAAAACAAAATCAGTAACTCAGACTTGTGAGTTAAGCCGAGAGAGAGTAAGTGAGGGGTGTATGTTGATGTGTTGAATCTATAGCAGTTCTTGTTATACATATGCATGTAAAAGACATTATTAAAAAACTCTTTAAATATGAAATAAAATAATTATTAGTCAATAAAATCAAAAACTTTGCAAATTAATTAATTCATCTCTTAATTAATTAATTTAAATTACATTAAAATTAATAAGCAACAATTATTTTTGTTTTTAATACTTGTAGACAAAATTCTATTATCTCTGTCCTTGTTTTAAAACTGTCACAAGTATGCAATCCTAGTAATGTCTTAAAAAATATAAAATCATCATTTAGTAAGTAACAGGACAACTTTTTATCATAGATTGTTTCTGGATGCAATTTGCAACATCTTTAGCTATTGTTGATAAATCATGATATCATATTATAATTCTGATATTCATGTATCTTACAACAGGCAAGGAACAAGAATTCACAAACAGAATTCATTAAATCTAAACTGTAAATGTGACAGATGGTATAAACTGGTTAATGTGCCATTATCATTTTAATCAATCCAGTTTTCCCTCTTCTATATAGCACATTTGCAGCGATTGATATTTCGATAATATTTGAATAATATAACTGTTTGAACTAATTAAATTATTTATACTGATTAATTCAAATTACTGATCATTTGCTTGCAAAATCAGCTACATAGTTTCATTACAATAAAGGTTTTTTATTAAAGCTTAATCCAGGATGACATATTTTGATTATTTTTGTTGTTGACTGTTCCTTGCTTACATAAATATCTGTTTACTTGATTATTTATATATAAATAATCAAGTAAACAGAGTTTAAAAATGTGGAATTTAGCACTCAAGGAAAATTAGTTTTTTGGCACAGAAAGAATTAGCAAAGAATTATCAAAACATTTATTTAAAACAATTCTGTTTATTATGATTAAAAATTAAGCTCATAACAATTTACCATGAACTCGTCTGGAACTATAATCAATCCATACAATTCCCAGAACTCTGCTTGCTCAATACTGGAGGAATATTTTACTAAAAAACTATTGTATGTTCAAATGTTATTTTTTCAAATTTTATTATTTTTATTTATATAGGAATTTTTATTATTTATACATTTTCTTTTGTTTATTTTTTTATTTTACTTTATCACCGTTCAAATTTTTTTAAAATTTATTTTATATAAAGTTTTAAGATTAATGATAAAATTAATGAAGCTAGAACAGATGATATCAAACTGACAGTTTATTTTCTCACTGTTTCTACATTTATGATTCTATGATTTTTCTTTACACGCTATATATTAAGAAACTTTTAAATTATTATACATTATTACATACATTCAGATATATAAACAGTCAGTAGCCAAAGTAAAAACTAAATAAAACTAAAAATACATCTGAAAAAGTCCATATATTGTGCATTATTCTTTGAACAGCTGAGCTATATTTAGACAGTTTTAATGGCAAAATCATATTCACTGTTCTTTTCCGAAAAATTTACTTTTAAAAAAGTTTTATTCCTCAATTTGTAGAAAAATGATTGATTATTGCATTTCATTACTAGACAAATGACTTCAACAATGAAAGATCTTTCAGAAATGTTTCTAAAGTTACTATAGAATTTCCAGAATGTAGATGATGATATATTTCTAAATCTAAATATTCTTTTGCTGATAAAATAAACATTTAAAAGAAATTTGTCATGATACACAGCAAAACTTCCAAAGATTACTACTCCAATACTTTCCTCCAGAATGGAATTTCTGGTCTGTATTACTAATGACATTTGATTCCTTTTGAAAGACCACCTCTTTATTCAACTAACATCATCTTACAGTACAATAATGAAAAACACTTCCTTTTACACAACCACATGGTCTAAAAGTGAAACTTTAATGTACTATATTCTATAAATGCAAAATACCTTAGAAACAGAATTTTCTCTTTCAACAAAACCACCACCAAAGATAGGAGAGCAAAGTGTCTGAGGCAAAGTTAATGTTAATGGACCTTTGTTTTCTATTGTTGATGCTTTTAACATTAACACTAAAAAAATACTTCAATGAAGCAAAGGAGTGGAAAAAATTTGAGATTTCTTTAATTATTGTAATTACAGTCACTATATGTAATTTTTAAATTAAATTTTACTGTAATGATAAAAGTACAGTATTTTTCTAAAATTTGAACATCTGTCTTTTGGAAACAATACAGTACATATCAGCCTAGTGATTCATCTTGAGCTGGCTCCATTGTTGTTCACTCTCTTGACCCAATTCACCTTACAGTAATGCTTTTTCTGAAAATTATCACAAAATTTAGAGCTCACAGCTTCATTTTTAAGTCAGTTGCAGTGCAGCAAAAGGAAGCTTTCTTTCCTTACTTCAAAAAAAAAAGGATTTCTGTAATTAAGCAAAGTGAAATTGGAAAATTACAACAACAATTGGCAAAGGGATGTAACTATAGAAAGATCCAAATCTAAGCAATTCTCACCAATAAGGAACTTAGAAAATGAGAGAAACACAAATGAGAATACCACAAGAATGTACTCAACCATAAGATGTCAACAGAGCAATTTTGTAGTAGTTCAATTGCAGCTATGGATGAATTAGGATTTTTTTACAAGCAATTCTAGACAAAACATTAATGACAAAAGAGGAGCAGTGCAAAGGCATAAAACCAACAAAACAAAGACTAACTACTACCTTGTGAGCAAACCTCTGCAGAGAAAATAAGTCATCACTGGTAATACCTACAACTCTTGAACCAAGGTGTTTCAAAAATATTAATATTTCACAGCTTGGTGTTCTAATGGCATGCAAACAAGAAACTGTGGATAAACTATGAATAAAAAAATCTGTTGTTAACTGTTAAATGATA